TTTGTATAAATGGACATTCTAAATAAAAATTGGGAATATTAATGCTTTCTATTTTAAATACCAATTAATTAGATTGACATGTTAGTTAATTTTTACCCTAACAGCTGAATGATTAAGCCAAATTTCATTTTTCAAAAACTTTTTGACATTTTATAATGTGATTCTTAAAGTTTGACTGCATTTAGATACTGATGAAATATTGACACTAATATATAGGTACATATAGCCTTGTTGCAATGAGATATACATTAATTGAATCTAGATGTTGAGTCTATACATGTAGAGTCTATATAGAACCGTACGTTATTTGTTGCGATAGAATTCCAAGAAGACCCCTGCGTCACTTTCTTGGAATTAATCGCATTCGACACCCGAGATAGAAAGACTGACGGTAAATTACAAGGTACGCCCCTGACACCGTAAATTATTGTTACAGTAGATCCAATAACAGAACTTTATTGGCTTATTATTTTCTTGGAATTCTATCTCAACAAGTATAAGGACTTTATTTATCCCTATAGAGCAATGTCCATGGTCTATGGAGACTGCAAAATGTGATATCAATTAGAGAGTGAAGAGCTTAGGTCTGTGTGTCTACGCCAATCTAGCAATCTCTGAAACATGTCATAAATTTTTATAATTTGGAAGTATGTTCCCTGCTAACTGTACTGCTAGGGATATAGTCATCCTAAATTATGTCTCTGTTTTTAATTAATGAGGATTTCTTTCAAATACAATTTGAAAATCAGATCTTGATTTACGTTTTTGTATAGTTCTGATCTTCGTTTTTTAATTTCATTGTCAATAGATAATATGCACCGAATTCTTGTTTTTTTTTTGCCATAAGGCAAAACCTCACACGTTTGAGATTACATGTATAGAGCCTGCATTGGTATCCAAGGAAACTTGTTTGAATAGCTTGTCTAATAATACAATAAAAATAATCTCAAACCTCTCAATTTGATTTACTTTTTAATTTTTAGGAATTCTTTTTTCATCTCATGGAGTACAAGATTCAAAAATAGTCTACCAATAACTTGTATTATGTGTTTAACATTAAGAATTAATCACAAATTTTCTCGAAAAGTAATAAAAGTGCGTTTTTCAATCTACCCTGTCCTTTCAGAGCATATTAATTAAGAGAATTAATAAAAGTATTGCTAAAAAAAGGATGACAATACTCCTGAAGCTCCGCGCTTGAATTATTTCTCATAAAATCAAAACCTGTATACTTATTTATACCTTGTAGTAAATATTATTTGATTTATTAAAAAAAATATATATTTTTTTATAAAATCTTTAACACCTTGTATCTCGGAAAGAAGCTTTTCTGGACATACGTTCATATAAACCTGTTCCTTACTTTTTAGAGAACTTATTTGCTTTTTAAATATTTTACATTTTTTTACCCTGTATATTTGACAACATTAAATGTTCAGACTTTTACAAACCTTTAATAACGATGCGATTATAAAGGAGGTAGTCCTTTATTAAATTTTAATAAAAAAAGAGTTACAATGGATATGTCGTAAGAAACCTAATTTCCAGTGAGAGGATATTAAATTTTGAAGAAATTCGTTATTATTTACATTTTGTACAGAACCGCAAGAATTATTGTAGAGTATTGACATTTGATCACTATAATGCTGAATACAGACTAGTAAGTACATTTAACTCATGCAATAGGTTTTGACACCACCATGTACTTACTTTTGTTTATAAAAGAATATGGTACATTACATTTTTCCAAGCTCGAAAATTAAGAACAGTTTATTTTTTACTCCTAAAATTTTATCAGAAATAAGTCGGAATAAGTGCTCTCGAACAAATTGGTACTCCTTACATTATCTTGTTAATTTTTCACATGTGAAAAGAGAGAAAATTAATCAAAGAAATTCTTGCACAAAAGATTTTAAGGATAAATGAAATAAATAAAACTTAGATAAATAACGCGGGACATGTTCCTTATAGTTCATCAAATTAAAAGTCTGTGCGGGACTGAGACAGTCGGTAAATAAAATTTTGATCGATTTAATGTCACCCTCCTATATTCGAACATTGATTAATATTGGCTGAGTTCAAATGATATAGTGGAAACTTTTCAGTACCATTTATCTGTGTTCATATAAATTATGTTCTATGTTGTTCTAAAACAGTGTTCATCAGTCTGATAGTTCTAATGACCCTAGCAACTACGCCGCAGCTTAGTTTTGGTTAATAAAATATATGTCCCAAGTAAGCTCACTTAAATTCTTGCGCAACTACCAACTACACGAATATATTACATTTCTCATTGCCGAAGAATTTATGTGCTAATATGTCGAGCGACTAATTTAGTAAAAAACAAAATTCACATTGTTGATTATTCAGTTATATATTTTACTTTTGTATTTATTTTACGATATTACATTCTGTTTTTTACTCTTTATTAAGTTATTAAGCTAATTCAAACATATCGTGTCAAATGAAGTCAAACAACATTCTTCGATACCAGAAATCTAGATATGCAAAATATATCCAACTGCTGGTACTTTAAAGTTTAAACAGTAGTAATACTCAAGAAACTGTTTACTGTTACTCAAGAGGAGACTAATACTTTAGGTTAGGAAAACTATAGCTGAGCTGCAGTGAAGATTCTACATTCCATGCTTTAAAAATATACAGGGTGCCCCACATGAATTTTATGAGATTTTTATTTTTTTTTGTTGGCATGTTTAACATAACTTTCTTGCGGCCCTGTAGAACCTTAGACAACCTTTGGAACACAATTTGAAAGAACCACTCTTTCTTAACATTTGCCCAGAAAAATATTACGAAAAAGTTTTAGAAACTATGACCTTTAGTATATCATTGTTAGACATAAAGTACCCTTATAGAATCTATAATGAATAGTAAAATACACGTGATTACATTTAAAAAATTAAAGATGGTATTTAAGAAAAGTAAAGCTCCCTATATAACTGAAAATGTTTTTAGTTCGTCTACCTGTCACTTTTTCACCTAGATATTGGACTTTCGAGTGCTAGTGGCACAGGCTGTATATTGACAAACCAAATTTTAAACAGTGTTAATGCATGTACAATAATTGTATAATTTGAAGCAGCTTCACTGCTTCTGTATGGGCATAGATATTGAGAAGTAATTCTTTATTGAACACTTTTATGGTACTGGTACAACATAATATATGTCTCAATTTTATTTTCCATGAATATTTTTAGGTAAAAGGGTATACCAATTTCTGGTCTAAAAAAGGGATCGTTTACGAGAAGATTATTCGCAGACACGACTTTTACAACATATTACAGATCATATGGGAAATACAGTCCGTACGATATTGTCATAGAATTCCAAGAAAGTTTTTCGCTAATGTCTTTCTACCTCGGGTGGTTAATATAGTTAATTCCAAGAAAGTGATGTAGGGGTGTTCTAGGAATTCTATCTCAACAAATATCGTAGGAACTATATGTTTGTTACAAGATTTTAAGTATGAATATGAGCAGTCGTCGCTGCAATAAATGTTAATATGACTAATCGCCTCCCTAAATAACGTTAAACAGTGCCGTTTGTCTTTTAGGGACTGGCGATTTTAAAAAATTGCAATTTTCTCATTAACACTGCGTTTTTCAGATATACGGGGTGTCACAGACCACCCGTCCAGCCCTTCTAAAATCCAAAGTACATGGTTATATGGAAATGGTTTAGATGAAAGGTACTTGTCTTCAAGGGGCACATATTGTCGTGACCTTGTCTGTGATCTTGAACATCATTTCAAGGTTAACTTAGTTTTTCTAAATGGAAACTTTTATTTTCAACCCCGGATTCGTAAATAGCAGAAAATTATATGTTCAGATGATGTATCATGTGTGGGGTCCATTTGAACGCCCAAGGTCACGTGAAGGTTAATTTTTTTTACTGAATCTTTCCACGCAAATGACCCCGCAAAGACAAGGTTTAACGAAAAATGTGTCAGAGAAACGTTGCAAAATTTTGAAGTGACATTAATACAAATTTAGCAGAAGACTTTTGCAGAAATGGTGTACACCAATGAAGAAGCACACGACATGTTACAAGTTTACTTTGAAACAAGGTTATTTGTCGACGCTGAAAGACTGTGGCGAACGTTATCCCGACACATTTCCTCATTCTCGGAAGGTTTTTTTGAGACTGTCAAGATGACAAGAACTGTAGGTCTTCTGTAACCTCATCAATAAAAGAAGGTTTATTCGTCGACGATTTAGAGATGAACTATCAGCGGATATTTGAGTGGAAAGATTCAGTAGAAAAATTGACCTTCACGTGACCTTGAGGAGTCAAATGACACCCATGAGACATCATCTGAATGTAGAATTTCCACTCTTTCCGAATCCGGGGAATCTATTTAAAAAATATTTTTCGCAAAACCATGTACATTGGATTTTAGAAGGGGTGGACGGGTGGTCTGGGACACCCCGTATATGCATATTTTGTATAGAAATGTTTATTAAATTACAATTGCGATAATGGCGTAAAAGTTAAAATAAAATCAGTGTTATTCCTTCATATTTACGTCCCTGTATTAAAAAAAAATCACTGAAACTATGTTAAAGATACTAGAACAAATATGATCTAGGGAACGAACTAATGTAGCCCTATACACGCAAAATTATACAAGATTTATAATTGTTTATTAAGTAAATGTTCAATATTTTTTTAGTTTTATCCCTGGTTAAAATTTATTCACTTAAACTGGTGTACAGGAAAGTCTTATGTATGTTTTTCCGGAAAGATAAATAAAAATCGCACCAATTCACTTAAACTAGATGGTAAAAGAAAAGTATTTTCTTTTGAATATTCTCATTTGATTATACAGAAAGCTAATTTCGAGAAAAAAGTGTTATCACAATGCTAAACCCCACTATGATCCATTTTGTAAATCACTCTACAGATAATATTTTTCTCGATAGTAATTAGTTTAAAAAATAAATAGTTATATTTGAATTAACTAAAGTACTTTGTTTCAGATTAATCGTCATATTTGTCTTCTGGATTTAAGTAAGTAAATTTATTAAATTTTAAGTTTCGGGGTAAGTAAATATAAATCGAAACGATCTAGCAAAATTATTCAACACTTTAACACTAGTTAAGTATAATTATTTGTCGATTGACTTGTTGAGGAAACTCCTTATTATTTCTTAGCAGTAAAGAACAATAAAATTTATTTTCATAAAGCGGATAAGATTATAATTCAGTAATGTAGAATTTTATCAAATAAAATTTGAACTGTTACTAAATCACAACCTTTTTGACTGTCGGTGATTTTGACCTTAAAGATGATTTGGCAAAATATGTGTAGGATGTATCTACGTTCGAATTATAAAATGAAAATAGAAATATAGTTTATGATCGTATGGATTTCCTAAAGATTCGTATCTGTAACTATTTAGTTATCTTTTATATACTATATTTCCAAATGTAGCGGTAATTAAGCGAAGTTATCAATAAGACACGTTTTAATTTACTGATTTTAACAAGAGTGTAATTAAAGACTGTGAATTACAGCAGTGTGTTTAACCCATTGTACTATATGCCCTGGAAAATCGTATTAGCGTTATAAATTAGAGGTTCACAGGAAATTAATAACTTGGATTTCGGAATCGGTCGCGTAACTTGCTTTCCTGCCTCACATTTCGCCTACGGTTGCCCCAGAACTTCTCTGGGGATTAGTAAGCATTTATCGGATCGAGACACAATTGCCCGGTATATCCTACGGTTCTTTTTGTAATATAGAGCTATGTCTGCATGTATTAATAAAAATTCTTATCTAAAAAATTAAACTACATTTTTTAAAGGCGTGTCTTAATTGGCGTTTTTCTGTTTATCGAAAAGTATCGGAATTGTTAAAAAAATCAATAATTTTGCGTTTAGTCGTCTGTAAATTATAAGTTTGCATCTGAGACAGCTCCGCCTACAAATGCGCAATGGACACGTTAAGGGAATCCCAGGCTATTCCAGATCGCTGAGTCTACGTCTTATTCCTTCCAGTCGAATGCGTTCTTCGTCGCTCTCGCGCAGCTATGCCTGAATTAGAAGCGCAAACTTATTGGTATCGATCGGCGCTTATAATAACGTAGAATTTCTATACTGATTGTGAGAGAGAACTGTAGTTAATAGTTCCACTTTGAAACTAAAATTACGATCGGATTGAATTTTAATGAGTCATAATTTATGGACTGTTTTAGAACTAGCCACCCCTGTAGTAGTTTTAGGTACTGGGATCTATTTTATCTAATATATTCATCCACTTTCTCCGGTCCCTTACTGCTGCCTTCCAGTTAATTGTTTCCTCTATATCTCTCGTAGCCTTTTGAAAACACTCATTTTTTGATTGCCCTTTTCTCCTTTTCCCACCCATCAGCAAATTTTCTCTTCCTGTATTCGAACAATATGCCCCAACCACCTATCCTTTGAACTCTAACTATTTGTTCATATTGTCTTGACACCTTCGAATATTTCTTTCAGGATTTTTCTTCCCCAGATCTCTAGTTTAGTTTCCTCTCTATTTATCTCCATGTTTCACTTGTATACAGAACAGTTAGTTTTAAAGTCATTTCATACGCTATAGTCTTAACAGCTCTAGAGAAATTCTTTGTTCTGAGTATTCTTAATAATGGTCCCAAAGCTTTATTTCTTTTCAGGATTCTCTTATCTATTCTGCTCTTCTTCTTGATTTGTCGTTGTTATCGTTACTTCTGGACATTTAAACTGGTTAAGTCTTTCAAAATTGCATACTCTTCTTCTTGTTCGAAATTTAGAATATTTGTTATCGCCTACCACTTCCACAGGCATTTCCATACACTCTGTTTTCCCGACATTTATTTGTAAACCATATTTCTTTGCTCCTTTTCCGAATGTTTCAAAAACCTTTTCGATTTCTCTTTTCGTTCCTGTTAACAGCGCTGTCATCCGCACAATAGATATGTTGTACTTTTTTGTTATAAAGTGAGCCTGTAATTTGGTGTTACTTTCCTTTGTTACTACTTCCAATACCAGATTAAACAAATCTGCTGAAAGAGGGTCTCCTTGTCTAATCCTTTTTCCACTGTGAATTGTTCTGGAAAGGTACTGCCAACTAAAACCTTACTGTTTATACTAGTGAATGTTCTCCACAAAATATTTCTCAGTTTTTTTCCGTATACCTAATTCTTTGAGCGCTCATACATTTTTTCTCTCAAGTCGTAAGCCCGTTTTAAATAAAAAATAACAGATAGTCTTGGATTTCGCTCATTGCTTTTAATTTGCATCGACTTTATTGTGATTATTTGATCACTGTTGATCTTTTTGGCCCAAATTGCTTTTGAAGATAAGGTGGGTTTCTTTGTCCGGCATATTTTCATCACAGTAAGTTTATCTTATCATTTCAATTACAATCATTTTTCCATGAGCTTTTATTACCTTCTTCATAAACTTCCTGCTGTGTTAGTCTTTTTACTTCTTCCTTTTGATCACTGTCTGCCAATTCTATGGTTTTCTGAGCTTGAAGCTGCGTGATTTCTTTTTCTTCATTTAACAGCTGATTAAAGTGTCGTCCATGTATCGATTTTTTCCTATCAACTGATTTTAACGAATAACTTTTTCCTAGACGGACCCCGTAAAAGCATGTTACAGGCGGCATATTTTGTAATTCAGAATCAAGGGCAACTGTTATCACTTTTTTGCAAAAATTTAAGTAGATACCTATTAGGGATTTGCAACGGATTTTTACTCAGAGTGATCTGAAATAACAACGATACTAATTCTTGTAGGTTCAATATTGTTAACTCTGACTTTAAAATAGTGAAAATAATAACTAACGACAAAAATTAATTAATTTTTCTTAGTGCTACTCGTTGAGAATAAAAATGGCAAAATATTTAACTTTAACTTTTATTTAATAAAATCACACATCTACCAATTGAAAGTAGGAATAATTAGTAAGTTTGTGGAACATTGGTACAGAACTAATTGTAACAGTATTTATGAATTTGTTCCTATGAAATGATTTTAAAATATGTATCAACAATTTTCTTTGAACACAGGGTGATTCACAACTTAGCCAAAAAAATGTTGGAATAGATGCGATATGAGAAATCGAGTCAATATCGTAAAATTTTTTTTTTTAATTCTTTATTAAAAACCTGTGACAGTTGTCATGTTGATTGTTACTTACCTCTCGCGGCCAACTTAAAATGTGCGAAACAGTTGGAAACATCATTTTAGGAAAAGGGAAATGTTTATTCGTGAATGAAATGAAAACCACTGGGTTTAGGTATAGGGAAACTTTAACAAAGTTACAATTTTAGTGCAAAATGCGAATACGTTAAAAAATTAGGGATTTCTATTTAAAATTTTCGAGTTTTCCACATTTTCTGAACTTCATATTCGATAAACTGAAAAATTTTCATGTCAAATTCTTCCTCTATAAAATGTCCAATTTGCACAAAAAAATAAACCTATGTTCCGAGAAAACTAAATTTTGCTGACAGTCTGCATCTGTCAATTTTTGCTTAAAAATCAAAATATCTCGGAAACGGTCAATCCTAAGTATGGAGTGTGCCATATGTTTTTAACTTAAAAATAGATGCTTTTTCCAAAAATGCTATAATATACAGGGGGTTCTATTTAAAATAAGAAAGTTAGTATCGACTTCCGGTATAACCGGAAGTACGATGACCTTGAAAATATTTTAGCTTGGTAGGCCCCGCCGTCCGTGTCCCACCATCACAATTTCAAAAAAATTCTTCAAGCGGTTTCCCAGATATCCATCGATGGAGTTTGTGGTGGTACACCCTGTATAATTACAGATAACGAGCGTTCAAATAAAAACGTGGTCAAGTTGGTTCTGAAAATTTGGACGTAGGGCGTAGCGTATAGTAAATGAACTTAAACGTCATCTGTCAAAGCGCTATATCGCCGCTATCAATTTGAATATTTTCATTTTAAAAAGCGTTTAAAATAGTATTTTCTCAAGAACAAAAAGTGTTTATCATAGAGTCCTTCTTTAGAAATGGACACAAGATTGATGGAATATGGAAGTATTCTATTGAGGAATGTTTCATAGAATTTCAAAATCAATTTCCCGACGTTGTTGAGTACAAAATTTTAATGTTTTTCGTGAAACGGGCAGTGTAACAAGAAAAGAAGGAAGCGGCCGACCTAAAAAGCGGACTGAAGAATTAAAAGAAAATGTCCAACAAATAATGGAAAATGCGCCAAGAACTTCTGTACGTGTTTTATCACAAATGGTGGGAGTATCAGTCAGTACCTGCCACACAGTGTTAAAAAAGATTTGCGTTTGTTCTCCTATCGTTTAACTTGTCAGCAAGAACTTCATGAAGTTGATTTTCCGCGACGGTCTGTATTTTGTGAATGTTTTTTAAACAACTACGGTGAACTACATAATATCACCTTTTTTTCTGATGAAACCTGGTTTCATTTAAGTGGTTACGTAAACTCACAGAATGTGAGAATGTGGTCTTCTGAAAAACCAGATAACTTTTTTGTCGAGGGCCCTCTACACGCTCAAAAAATTGGAGTTTGGTGTGCTCTCAGTCGAAGGAGGATTTATGGACCTATTTTTTTTAATGGTACTCTTACTGCGCAAAGGTATAGATAAGAAATTATCGCTCATTTTGTTAACCAGCTGGAAGAAAACGAAATTACAAACTTTTACTTTCAACAAGATGGCGCAAGGGCACATACGGCAGGCGAGACGATGAATATGTTGAGGGAAGTTTTCCAAAATCGACTAATAAGTCTCAATGCTGAACTTGAATTTCCACCGAGGTCATGTGATATTACGCCGTGTGATTTCTTTTTGTGGCCTTACCTTAAAAACACTATTTTTGAACTGCCTATTTGATTTAAACCATCTGCAGGCTCGACTTATAGACAAGATTCGTGAAATTAACAATACCCCGAGCATCTTAGAAAATGTCTTTAATTATTTGAGGAACAGGTGTGAAAAGTGCTTGGAACAAGGAGGGGGACACTTTCAGCAGCTGCTTTAATTGTTT